TCTGGCTAAATTCTCATGCCGGAAACATCTGAGGTGCTGCATGCTTCACTTATCATAATGATTGAAGGAGGGCATAACAACCCGGTTGAGGCTAAACCGGGTATGTTGCTGCAGGTTGGGCGGGCATTTATTCGACACAAGTAAAGTGGCCTCCCTAACAGCTGAAAGCTACTGAAGACATAGTGAAAGGTCGAATTGCTAGTGTTATTTGGATGTACAGAGTGCTGGCCACACGTGAGTTTTGTGGAGTCGGGTAAATGATTTGTGCTTACATTAGAAGTAGGTGCTATGGGGTAGGCAGATGAGGAAACGGTGGGGTTAGGCCGATTCAGCATCGACCTTAAGTATTTCGGTGGGTGTGAAAAGGAGACTGATTTACTCAGGTGATTAATGGTCATATAGCACTATGTTAACACACATCCACTACGGTCGTGGTTTAAGGTGACCTTATTTTTACTACCAGGGTGTGTTGTAGCGCTAGCCTAACGAGTGCAAAGCGGGCGTGGTGCCGCTCGGTTCCAGGTGACCCTTCTAGTCACATTCAGCCCGTGGCTGGAGACCAACTGAACCATCTGATTTGCAAAGGGTGCTGTTAGCTCCTGGGGTCGCCAAAAATCTTGTTGCAGGGTTAGTAGGCTCCTAATGGGCTCAAGAATACGTGTTGCACTGTCATGGTGGTTAAATCCAGTGGTGGACCAAATGTGGTGGTCGCTTTTACCTGCTGCGGGGATTTCAGAGCGGGCACTTGGCGATAACTCGAGTCATCAGTTGAACAGTGGGTTTTCCATGTGAACCATTTCCGATTCCGTGTTGTCGTGCGCGGTGGTGCTGCTTTGGAAAACACTCTAGAATCATCATAATGACCATTAGGGTAGGTTAAGACGCGAGTCCGTCAACGGCTGAGCGACCGTTGTTGTGCTTGGTATAAGAAACTGAGTGAAATGGCTCGGTCTGGCGATTTTTGGCTTGAAATTGCCTATAATCCTCAGGACGAGTTGGTTTGTTACTCAGCAGAGTGACTTAACTGTCCATCTGCAGCTGGGGAGCAGCTTGGCCAGAGTTGTGGGAAATACGGATAATTAATAGTAACGGTGGTTTATGTTTGCCAAATAATTTGGGCTTCTTGAAGTTCATGCACTTGGAATATAGGTCGTTTTAGACTTAGAAATAACATGGTATGGAGAAGCTTTCAGTTGATCTCCTATTTTTAGAATGGGCTGCATGGAAAGCAAGTAATTGGTTTCCGAAAGAAAAGTAAATTCAGGTGAATGGATCTCAGCGAAGAGACAGTTGTGGGTAGGGCTTTCACTGGGTGCAGCTGGATTGTTGAACTTTTAATTCATAGTGGTCTTATTTAAGTCAGCAACTGGGACGTTTTGTCGGGAGAATGACATTTGTTCCCGAAAAATCAAGATAAGCTGAGCCTTCTGTTGCCTGACTGTTTGTCTGTATGGGATGCTGAATAGTTGGGGTCAAGGATAAATCAACTGGACATGTGCGACATTGGCACGGCGTTAAATCCTCAGTAACCCTAGCACTTCCATATGAAGTATAAGCTGTAATAGACTTGCCAGATTTTAGGAAGGGCTTAGCATGCCTGGTGCAATTAAACATGAAAAGAAGTGGGCGACTGATATCATTCGACATCTTCCTTAATCTAACAACACAAGATTCAGCCAATAAAATCCCGCATATCCATAGACATAAGTCCTCCGAAAGATGTACTGGGATATGGTCAGGAAGATCATACACCAAAGCATTTTAAGACGAAGTAATTCCTTTGTTGACTTCTTATGCTACTAACCAGATTGCACGTTCACGTTTATGTGGGTCCTCAGAGATGCCACCAGTTTTCTATTCCATACTTACACACCCAAATGGGGCGTGTTTGGCTAGAATGACGTTGATGCCTGTCACGTACTCTTCAGTGGGGGATCTCATTTTTGATACCAACTAAGTCAAAAAGACAGTCGGACATTAAATTCGGCACAACCGTCTCCGTCATACCTTTCTCAAGTGTTTTAGAATCAGCCAACGGCTTACGTCTCTCGACTGGTTGACAGGTGTTCGGTATAAGTCTCCTAACTGTGCATATACGTTTACTAGGCTTAACCATCGCGGTAGTTATTCGAAGTAAGCATTCTGGAATGATAATGGGAAGATAAACTCTGTTCCGTTTTGAATGGTCGCGGGTGAATGGAGCTGAAGTATACAGAAGTCAACAAATTTAATCGGTACGACATGGATCTAATGAGGTTTTTTGGACCTATCTTTGTATTCTTTAGGCTCAACAGAAGCCCTTTAACTAAGAAGTTTCTAAAACTCTTGCAACTATGCAAAGGCTTCTTGCTATATATATATACGATCAGTCCCAGGTATGAACTGATAACGAAAGCCAAGGGTGGGTTATCAGTCATGCGCTGGTGAGATCAGTAGAGAGACAGTCTCGTTTAACACTAAGGACGGATGGCGAAGCCGTAGAAAAATCGGCTTGTTAGAGTGCCAAATTATCGAACACTGCACAAGAGCGATGAACTGCGCCACAACAGGATGCATGTAACGTCAGTTCCATGGAGCGCAGGCAATGGCTGTAGCCTCGCAAAACAGGCGCTCGCTTTCTCGACAGCAGAAACATATTATTCTGTCTCCTATCTTCAAAGAAGGAGGCGGACGGGATCCGAAATGCTGTCGACCTACAGCACTTTTGACGGCTCTGTCGAAAGAGATGTAGAGCTTGGTAGACGGCCATGCCAGGGAGTACTTGAACAAGAAGAGGGCAGCGAGTGATGCCCAGCACACTCTCCGAAAGGGCGGACTTGCGAAAAGGATCCTGCTCTCTTTGACACACACCGTTCTTGCACCACTGCCGGGAAAGGCCCGGGACTGATACTGACTTACAAGCCAGGTATCTACGTCAATTAACCAGGGGATGCCCACAAAGCCCACGCAGAAGAGCGCTTCATGCCCCGACAACCAAGTGTCCGTATTCTGAAACTCTTCCTGAAACTGTGCAGGACATATTTACGACCTCGCTAATAGGTTCACAATGCCAGTGCACCAACACACCTGAAAAATTGTGAACCCCCCGGAGAAAGTCCAGAAGCAAGCTACGAAGGGCTGTTGGGACAATGCTGCGAATACCTTATGAGGCTAAGTTGGAAGACCTAGGGGTTTGCTGTCTTAGAGACCGTAGTTTATATGGCCGTCAAATTATGACTTACAAAACGCTGAGTAATCTAAGCCACCTGAACAATGGAACCTTGCCGAGCGGCCACTACGGCAGCCCTCGTGATAACACAGAAAGGATTGTCCATCAAAGGGTGAGAACCCTTGCGCGTTCACAATTCTTCTCCCTTCCAGTCTCTGGGCGATGGAATGCATTACCGACAGCGGTAGTCTCTACCCTATATGTCGACAGCTTCAAAAAAAGACTAAACAGTCACTCAGTAACCCACGGTTCACGCTTCTCCGGTTGGAATACGAACTAGACCGGGGAAATCAACCCCAGCCATACCATCCCAACACTGTTACCTCCACACTAATTCTCTTCCTACCCTAAACACTTTAGTCCCCTCTTTCCTACTCAATCCCCACTAATGAACCTCGCTCACCCTAGTTCTAGGTATCTTTGCTCCCCCCTCATTTTATTTGAGTGTGCACAGATTGCTCCATCATTCCACTTTTATTGTTCCTTTACTCACATACATTTGTCTTCCTAGGTTATCCCTTCATTGTCCCTAACTCTCCATTGAGAAAACTGCCAACAACTTTCTGGTAACTAAACATTTGGATAACCCAACGGCATCAGAGTCCTAGGCAAGCTAGCCAACATCCAAGCACCTGCTGGGTTTGCCAGAGCTGTAGCAGACGAGCTGCTGGATCTACTGCATCGGAATCTGCCAAAGAACTGGAACCGTTCCGCAAGACGTGGAGGTGAGCAAGAGAAAATCGACTGGTGTACTCAAGCTCGTTAGACAGATACTAAATATTCAAACTGTTCTTTAGCGAGTGCAGAACTATTGGTTTCATATTTTCTGGTACCTCCAGTTCATATCAAGGAATGATAATCTTGCAGAATATTGCGGCTATGAGCCAAATATCTGCATGTCCCAAATACGGCACCAAAATTTAGTAGGTTTGTTTGTGGCTACTGGAGTGCACCGCATCCCTAGATTGAGACCGCTCCGTCTGACGGCAGCTTCAAGGAGAGGTTGTAAAGCTACACAGGAGTCCACGACCTGCGCTCATCCAGCTGAGATAGTGACTAGATTGACACAACTAATTAGTTCTGCACAATCCAGAACAGTCAACCGTATACCGAGTCTCTTGTACCACCAAGATCACCGTGGACTTGAATTGACCTTATACTTCCCTGTTAAACGTCCCTTCTAGTCGCCATACCCACAACAATAACACCACTATTTTTACTGTCTAAATCCGTCACATAATCTTAATTGCCCCCTTTCTCCCTTCAGACCCCATGATCACATCCTGTTTATTAAGGTTCTCCTATTACTGGTATCTCATGAATCGTTTTCAGTTCGCGTTATTTCTTCGCAATTATTCTCATTTGTCTTCGCCTGACCTGTGTTTACCCTTTCTATCTTTTTTATAATCAACCCGAACGACACTTCAGGAACCCATCTGCACAACAGTCCTTGGAAAAGTCGTAGAATCCCCAAGCGTTTAATCAACATATGACCTCTCGTCGGACTAACCAGAACCACAGCAGGAGGTTGAGCAGACACACTGTGTCGGAATTCACCAAGACCGCAAGACCCAGAAACGATGGGAAGATACCAGTTGACTTACACCAATTAGTAAAAGTGTGTTGGATCTTCAGAACCATGAAAAAGCGACATCCATTTCAAACATAGAAAGCATTCCAACAGAGCAGAATTTTAGCCCAAAGAATTACAGTTGGCTATTTCCGCAACACGAGGATTGAAAGGTCTTCAGTATGCAATATTTGGAATTGTGCGTTACAGTCATAAACCGTAATGAGTAATGAGAGTGATGCTGAACGATTGTGGTGTGACCTCAATGGTCACCTGGCTAAGAAGCCTTCTGAAAGCTGTCCTGCAGCTACGCAAGATGAGTATCTTATCAAGATACAGAAGAAATTCGTCGAACTGATCACAAGATATCCCGTTTACTCTGTAGTACATAAATTAGAGTTGGAAATGTGGAATGTCTTGTACAAAACACAGATCAATACATTGCAGACTATGGTGAGCGTTTTAATCCATGCTGGTTAATTCATTATCCATTATACTTCAAGGTGTAGGGAAGGGATAGTGAATTACGCAGTCAACCATTATTCTGGTCTACATACTGAACATAGTGGTAGTTAAGAATATAGAGTTAGCATGGGGTCGACTTTTTTTTGGATTATATGACCCATGGTTATTTCTACCATCGGTTTGTCCTGAAGCTATATTAACCCATACTTAGCCTGACATTTAACAGCTGTCTCCACGTTGACCCTGTTTGTAGTGTAGTCTAGTGCTAGTCTTACTGTCGCCAAATTTTATGTGTTCAGCTCTGCGTAGATACTGGATTCCTCTTGCTGGCCGATGGGGTTGTTACCGAAGTATGATGCTTTTATCGTGGAGGAAATATAATGTTATATCGGTCGTTCTGATCACATGTCCTTATGCAAATTTGTTATCACTTCTTACACCAGTTTCAAATGCAGTTTGCAAACGGACAGTTTGTGCGCTAAGAAATATGTTCTTATTCCACGAAAGTTGTAAGGTTGAAGAACAATGAACGGCATAAAAAATTCACTATCAAATTATGTGAACCGGAATTTCGAAATAATTTCTAGTACTAGTTGAACTTAAACCTGAAGTACTTCCTAACTTAGCTTTGTTTTCCCCAGCATGAACTTGTATTAATTGTCCTATCTTCAGATCTCTTCACTAAGAATGATGTGTTTTGATGTGATATCACAGTATATATTCTCTATCACACCCACTGGACTGGAACAGATTCCGTAAGTCTCTTCAGGAAGAACTGGATAGATAGGCAAAAGGTGATGGATCGTGTATAAGAACTCTGAATCTATTTTTCATCTAGCCTTAGGGACATAAGTTATGTTAACGTTTCTTTATTATTCCATGGCCGATAGCTTTTAACTTAACGTGGTGGTTCGACTTGCATATCACAATGACTCAATGCCATACAGTGGCTGAAACGCTTGTTTCCTTGAGGTCCTACCATACCAGAAAAGTCTGCTGGGTAGCCGTAAGATAAAAGGCAGTTGCGGGTGTAATGTAAATTGCTACACTATGATGGATGTCCAAGGGCAAGGTTGTGCTGTGGCTGGCTGGATGGGGTGTGACGGCAGTAAGGTGTTTCCTTCGGATTATCAGCAGTGCTATGCTTGCGGTAACCTCCTTATGTGAAGAAGTGGGGAGGTAGAAACGGTTGGGTCCCCAAATAGTATATTCCTCCCTGTCCCATGTCTTCCAGTGCCTGCTCTATTCGTTTTCTCTATCCGGTATTAGAAAAACCAAACCTCAGTGCAACAACCCGCAAAGGCCTATGTGTGACAGACCTCAAGGAGATGTTTCATGTGACTCTGTGGTCACACAAATCCTTTTGTCTTTCAGGTATCTAAGGGAGAAATAGCCTTTCACGATGTAGGCTGCGGGGAAGTGTCATCTGCCCACATGCTTTCAGTGGTATTCAGGACCCAATAAAATATAGCTTATCCTTCTCAACCTTATCTCCTCCTTTACCTTCACTTTCTAACATTAATATTGATCCCCTTACACCTCTCGCTATGCAACCATTGCCACGATCCAAGCCATCGAAACCTCATCCCTAGTTTACTGAGACTCCACCTTCGATTTCATGAAGTAACTCTTATCGTCCGAGCTCTACACCCAATCGGACAGCGAGCATCCGTCACTAGAACTCTGTAAGCCGAAGCCATGATTGTATGCTGTGCCTGTAAGACAAGCAGACAAAACCCGAGTGTAGCTACTAACTTGATCTTACCTAACCACAGTGACGAATCTTCAAAATTCACGTTACTCGTATCCGGAGACCCGTTTCCTAGCTGTGATGGACTCGCTGTTGTAAACACAGCATTGAGCTGTGCGCTTGAGTGCACTTCTTGACTGCATACCAGCCAACAGTTGTCTCTGTCCTCCGACTGGATAAATGCGTAACATGTAGGAAAGATCATAAGACTAGATGATGCATTTTCGTAATCACCGACTACGTACCCACCGGCTGCAGTTCGTATAATACAAGTATGAATTGCATGAGAAGCTGTTTAATTTGCTACAGAAAGCTAAACGTTCAGATATGGTCATGATGGCAGGTGACTTTAACGCTCAAGCAGGGAAGGTGAGCTGAGCCAATGGAAGAGACATCTTTGTGGTATTTACGGAATTCCATGCCAAAGAACTGAAAACAGTGATCATCTGTTACAATTCTGATCCGACAACCACTTGTTTCTGACCAGTATTAACTCTAAGGATAACAAGAGGCACTATCACTATCTGACATGGCGCCCCCAACATCAAACCAACGATGGAGACAAATAGATTATGTTGCTATAAGACATCGGTGGATGATTGTCGATGTTTCTTGTGTAGTAGTTTGGACTGGGATCACGCGTTAGTAAGGGTTCGTGTATGTCTGCGCCATACTGCTCATAGGAAACAGGTGATGGTACAGCCTCTCTATGGTCGATTAGAAGATGATACGATATATATATATATAATATATATATATATATATATATATATATATATATATATAGGGAGGAGTTACCCAAGCATTTATCTGAATGGAACAGCAGTGCTGATCTTGAGGGAAGCTTGCGTAAACTGCCCAGGAGTCTTTAAGTGGATTTGGAATTGTGGTGGATGGCGGAAGGGAGAAGGCATCAGTGTTGAGTAACACCCAACTGTTTGGGTGTATTTAGGATACCGAGGAGAAGAAAACGATAGTTAGTGACATTACCACCGAAATGTTTGGTACCCTGATAACCACTCAGGATAGGCGGTTAGAAGGTTGGGTGGAACACATTGAAGCATAGTTCATCTGGACCACAGGAACACTTAAGTTGTCCAAGATATAGCCTGAACCTGAATGGAATATGGATGTAGGCTGATCTACTTCACTGATCATTCCAGTGTATAAGAAGGGAGAGAAATCTTCCTGTGATAATCACAGGGTAACTAGTTTGACCAATATTGTGTGCGAGATCCTAGGATCCATAGTTATCCGACACGTACTGCATCGGGAGACTAGCCAACTGGATGAGACCAAGCGGTTTTCAGACCTGGACGTGACGAAGGTGTATCGGTCATATTTTAACCCTGTGACAGGTTGTGAAACACTGGCATACCTACTCATCAGTGGGTTACATTTAAAACATTTGTTGACCTGAAGGCAACACTCGACTCTGTCTGTGTAAGGTGTTGTGGCAGTGTCCGACTGCGAAGGGAGCATCAAGCAATTACAAAACGTTCATTGAAGCTCTCTACTGGAACTCGCAGTGGAATAAAGGCTTATAGAGAGTTGTCATGTGAATTGACGACAAGTAGTGGTGTTGGGCAGGGATGTCCACTGTCACTCCTCCTATTCAATTTCGTTATAGACTTACTGATGTACATAAGCTGTGGTAACTGTGACTAGCAGAGATTGATCTATTCCCCGGAGGTCATCTGATTGACTTGAAGTTTGGAGATGATATTGTCCTGGTGGGTGAATACACTGACAAAACTCAGGATCTGGTGAACAGGTTGAGCAGAAATCTGAGTATGTTTAGCTGATCTATGTGTTTCACACATGTGAAATGTAAGATGATGGTTTGAGAGTTGGTCTGTTGCAAATACTCCCAGTTTAGTAGTAGAGAGTGAAGTGGTGGAATGTGTGGCGGACTTCACTAACTTGGGGAGTTGGATCAGCTCGAACGGGCTAGTTTCTGAAGAAATCTCAGCTCGTATGCAGAAGGTCTGTTCGGTATTTGCTACGTAGCGTCATGTGTGGAGTCAACTAGTGAGATATCCAACTATCTATGAAGGGACAAGTATGCTGCACTGCAGTCCTTTCAGTGAGACATGGGCGTTGGAAGTGGAAGACATGAAGCGGTTACAGGGTTTTCATCATAGGTGTCTTCGTAGTATTGCTTGCGTTTGGTGGAATCATGTTGCGAGGAATGTTGAGATCAGGTGAAGGATTTTAGTCAATACATGAAAGTCGATTGATGATGTTAATCTTATTCAACTGAGATAGCTTGGAGATACGTTGTGCACCCCGAGCCACCGCCTACCTCGACATACTATGCTAACTAGAGGAAGTTGGATTAGGTTGAAAGAGAGTTGAGAGTGGCCGGACAAAGACGTGTCAGTAATCAATGAAGTCCCTGTTTGTTGACCTGAGCCGTGTTGGTGATGTAGACTGTCTGGTTGGAGTTGACGAGACGAAAGGAATTAGTGGTTGAGGACTCTTGGTAACATTGTTGAAAATTGGTCACAATGTTGGAGATGTATCCACTCCTTGACATCTTCTGAAGCTTGAATATTCGCACTAACCTTTATTTTCAGATTGTTCATTCTCTCACACAACTTTGTCAACATTGAAATGACTTCTTTTCTATCCCCATGTTCTTATTGTAGTACTTTGAAGCGTGGTAACTTTAGCCGATGCATTTTTGTACTAGGGTTTTGCGTTGATTATTTTTGCGCGTCTGTCTTCTTAATTGTTCATTTTTAGCATACTGAAAATCGTAGTCATGCAGCATATATTTACGGACATGGTTTTGAAGGTAGCCTAACTCTGGTGTTATATTCATGCTTTTGCTTTTTCTCCATGGATACTTTTACATATTTTAAGTTTGTTCCCCTAGTAAGTTCCTATATATAGTCATTGTTCTCCATCACTGACTCTCAAGTCTCTGTCACGTTTAACTACTACTGTTGACCCTTGGCTATACTCAGCAGCTGACGTTTCAGAAAACCTTTGCTGTTCGTTGTGCTTAGAATTTGTTGGAGGGAGTTTATACATAGCTTATTTTTGCAAAGGTAACAAGCAAACAAAGTTATAAAGCTGTTTACTGATTTTTTGTGTGCAGCTGTACGAGGTGGTATATTTCCACTTAGCCAATTCCGTTTTGAGGTTGGTCTTAATACACTAGTTGAATATTGTAATGCTAATGAAAGTGTAAGTATCAAGTGGTGTCCAGCTTCTTTGTAAGTGTCGCTGT